ATTTTTTACTTAGAAAGTATATTGTTAAAATTAATTGTTAAAATTTTATTATAAAAATTAATTTTTTAAAAAAAGATACAGACAAATTTGCATGCAATACAATTTAAGGGATAAATATATATATATATATATATAATTAAATTGTATAGTTAAATAAGATCAAATATAATAGAATAGAATATCATTTAGAATAAAAAAAAAACAAGAAAATCAATATATTAGTAAAATTTCTGTATAAAATAATAGTAAATATCAGAATTAAAACTAACTAAAGAGAAACAAACCCAATAAAAACATTAAAATTAAAAATAAAAAATATATTATATAATTAGTCAAGTTTCTAAAAAAAAAAATAAACAGAACAAAAAGAATTCAGCACAAGAAAAACTATAGCAATTAAGTATATAATAGACAGCTTACCAACACTTGAAGAACTAAACAAAAGAAAACCAGAAGTATATACAACTACAAAATATCAGATATGCCAAGTCAGAAAAAAAAAAACTTAAATATACTTAACAAATTATAATATACAAAAGAGTTTATAAAAACAAATTCAAAAAGTTATAATAGCAACAACATAAAATAAACTTAAAAAAAAAGAGAAAAACAAAATCTTATCACAAGTTTTATACAAGATATTATTTAGAGAAACAGAAGCAAAAAAAATTACAAACAGAAAAATCCTAATAAAAAAACTTATAATACTAAAAGTAGAAGAAAGGCTTGAACAACTTTTAAACAAACAGACAATACAAAAATACATAAATACAATAATGAGAACAGTATAAAACATTTTCTATGACCAAGTATAAAGAATTTAATATGAAATAATACAAAACTAAGAAAAGAGAATCAATATAATAAATAAAATAAAAAAAGTTATTTATGCAAAAAAAAAGATAGATTAAAAGAAAAAGAAAAATAAATAAACAAAAAAATAATAATAGAAAGAGCAAATTAAACAAAAAAAAAGTTTAAAAGACAATTAACATACTTGTTATAAAAGAAAAAACTCTTTTAATATAGTTTTAAGTAGTTAAATAAGCAATTTATTTCTAACTAAGATAATGCAACAGATTGCACTTAGGTATCAATAGAATAACTAAATAATGCTAAACTTAGATATTGAATAATTTTATATAATTGTATATGTATATAGTTTTAAGAAACTTAATAAAATACTAACATAATTGCTTAAAGTTAAAAAAAAAAAAATTGTATAATTTAAATAAATTTTAAAATACTTAAAAAATGGTTCTTATTTAACTTTTAAATTATCTTACCAATTATCAAATTACTTTATTATTTTGTAAAAAAGAAAATATAATTTCTAAATATTTATATCACAACTTCTGCAAATTTATATTCATAGCTGCAAATTAATTCTTGTAACTCTTATAACAAAAAATCATTACTTTAATAATACTTTAGTATGACAAGATAATCTACAAAAATCAACCAATCACAATAAAAGTTCACTATGCTCTTCTGGATCACATGTACTCAGTGTTGTTACATTTACTATGTTCATGAATTTTTTTGGCTGTCCATGTTCACAAATGTTCATAATGTTTATGTATTTTATTGCTTAATCTATATTATTAAAAATATATAATTATATATAAAATTTAATGATAAACATTTTTACTTAATGTACAAAATCAAGTTGTCATAATAAACTTTTGAGCTATTAACATTTCTTTTTGTGCAACATGTTCTACACATTTGTCCACACATGTCCATTGACAACACTGCATGTACTCACCTTAATATTAAAAAAAAAAAAAATTTACCTAACAAAATTTTGATAAATTTAATCTATTAACATTACTTTAAAAAACATTTAAGGTCTATCATATCCAGAGATCATTATAAAGAAGCTTGTTGAGTATGACGACAGAGCTTGTTCTGTTGCTAAGCCAGTTTGTCAAGGTTTCAACAAATCGTCAGGGATTTCATCAATCGTCAATGGTTTCGTCAGGTATGTAATTTGACGATACCTTTTGTCAATTCAAAAATAATTTCGTCAAGCATCTTTAAATTAAATTCGTGTTAGCACAAAGACACAGACGAAGCTTGAACAATAAAGTTGTATTTCTTCGCTTTAGTTTTCATCCTATTTGTATCATCCATAGAAATAAAATAAAATATCACGTTTAAATGTTATCGTTATACGTGTTTGATAAAAATTTGTTTTGATTTATGTGTTGCACAGATTGTCGATCATACTCGTAATAGGGGCGGAGTTGATTCTTCATACTGCATAAATTATATTCTTGATATTCTATATCCCCGAAACCCTAACTGCATCAAAAAGGTAACTCTAAAACTCGCTCCGCTTTAGCTTTTTTTTTTTTATCGACGATTAGATTTCAGTGCACATTTTTCATAGTTTTATTCAATGCATAATAATCTAAAGCAGTTCAAAGTAGTTGGATATTTTCGCAAATTTCGACAGACTAAATTATTTACGTTTCAGACAGTCAAAAATAATTTCGGCAGCATAGATTTACCAAGAGCAAAATAATTTAGACACCTATGTATACTGAAATAAGAGATTTTCCTTTTTACATTCATTCTTTTCGTATTAATGGCACAAAAAGAACAAGACAAACGCTTTTAGAATCTGTGACTTACAATGCGCTTCAAGCTCGCACACTGGGAACAATCATTGATGAAGTTCGTATAGCTGCTGATAAATTGCGTCGACTTGACATTTTTCAGTATGTTGACGTGTTGCTAGATGCTAGCAATGATACTGGAGCCCTTGATGTTATTTTGTCTGTAGAAGAAAAAAGTCGCTTTTGGATAAAAACTGGAACTGAAATTGGTAATGATGCTGGGAGCGCGGTAATCATAAAATAAATTATCTTGGCGAAATTTCGATGATTGCTTTCCTGTTTGGTATTAATCTTGTTTAAATTTATAGAATATTTCATTAAATGTTCGGAATGCGTTTGGAGGTGCAGAGACATTGGAAGCCTACATGTCTGCTGGCACTCAGACTTCACACGTATTTGAGGTGCGATTGTTAATAATGAATGTGCTCATTGTTTGTTTGATTTCATACATAATTTTATATTGAATTTTATCTAGTTTTGTTTAGCAAAACCAATTAATGGAAATCCAGACTCCAGGGCTGACATCTCCGCATTCAGCTTGACTAGAAACAATCAAATTTACAGTTCTCATGATGAAATCATGCGAGGGATTGCATTAAGATGGAGGGTAGGTTATATAATACATGTACTTTATTTGGCATGATTTTTCAGAATTAAATAATGCTTTTTCGTAGATACTTTCTCGGGTTGGATACCATGAACTCGGTTACGGTTCAACTTGGAGACAAATATGTAACATATCTCCTCAGGCGACATTAAGGTATGGCATTATCTTACTATCATTTTTTTCATTTTCATTTCAATTATTTATTATTAACTCCGAGAAATGTAGTATCCGTGAATCAGCAGGTCATTCCCTGAAATCATCTGTGACACACACATTAATTCGTGACAAGCGTGATGACTCGATGTTACCGTCACGTGGATACTACATAAAGCTCTTTCAGGTTTTAATCGATAGTAGAAGTTTAATAAACATTTATTTGAACATAATCGTTATGGTTAACAATATGATACGAATAATAGGAGTTAGCTGGGTTAGGTGGTGACGTTAAATTTATTAAAAATGAAATAGAAAGTCAAATAAATTTTCCGCTTGGGAAGGGTTTCGTAAGTTATTTTTGTTTTAATTTTCCAATGATATTTTATGAATTTTATCCTTATATGGTAATTCTACCAAAATAGATTTTTAGCGCATCATTAAGAAACGGATTTTTATATTCGTTAAATGGCCAACAGTCAAAAATCTCTGATCGATTTTTCCTTGGTGGCGCTCAATCAATACGAGGGTTCAAATTAAATGGCATTGGTCCAAGAGAAGACAAAAGTATGTAGTATTAACTTGGTTATTTATGAATTTTTATTAAATTTTTTGGTATATACTAGAGGATTCTTTGGGTGGAGATCTTTATATAGCAGGAGGTGCGAGTCTGTTTACACCTCTTCCGAAGCTAAGTAAATACCCTGTTAAGGGTCATTTGTTTCTGAATGGAGGAAGTTTGCTTCAAATGAATCCATGTGAGTGTTAATTTTGATTTTTAATTATTTTACGACAAGGTGAAACTTGAGTTGCGAGATAGTGAAATCCGCCATAATCATCACAAGAGGGTGAAATTCGCTTTTATATAATAAAAAACATAATAAATCGCAGATTTCACCCTAACCCGATCTACAAAGCGGATTTCACTATTTCGCAACTCATGTTTCACCCTGTATATTTTTATTAGGCTCTGAATAAGGTATAATAATGGAGATTCGTGTGATGGGTGCTCATATTGTTATGCTGTTATCCTTTGGTATTATTATCTTTTATTAGCGCAACGACTTCTCTCTAACGCCTTCAGTCTTACAAGGGCGCCTAGCGTGTCTACAGGCGTTGGGATCGTGTACCGAAGTAGCATTCTACGATTAGAAGTGAATTTCTGCTTGCCATTGGTAGCAACAACAAGCGATAAGTTAAAAAAGGGTCTGCAGTTAGGACTGGGGTTTAATTTCTGGTGAATTCAAGGGGACTGAAAAATAGAGATGAGGTTACCTAAATAAATTCATTAATGCACAGATTAGTATAACTATTATATATGTAATTTGAGTCAACTATTAAAATAAGAATTCTAAACATTAACGCAGCAACATAAAATGGCAACTTATTTTTTTTATGAACGAATATTTGAGACGAAAAATACGGTTAATTGAAATGTTATCAGAAAATCGTACGAAATTTTATTTATTAAAGAAAACTTCGAGGTAAAAGCTTTAGCTTTCATGAACAAATTATATTATTTAGGTCATATCCAGAATAGCGTTGGGAACAAAATCCCGAAAATTTTAAATAGAGCCCAGTAATGTCGCCGATTACGTAACTCACTGGGGTGTTTCATATCAGTCTAAATGCAAACATAGTGCAGGTGACATAGTGTTGATCACTAATTAAGATTTTTTATAGTAAAAATTTGCGAATCTGCACGCTATTAAAAACATAGAACTTTTATACCTTTACTTCATCTTTAATTTCTCCAGTAATATTTAACCATTTTTTAATTTAATAAAACAAAATGTTTAATGAAAGCTGTCTTTATGTCGTAATAACGTTAGAATTTGACTTTACTAATTATAAATAATTTCAATCCGAATTTAAATTATTCTTTACTGTATACTAAAAATCATATTATATGGTGCAGAACATCTAATCACATTACAAAATAATTGTTTTAAATAAAAGTTTAATAACTTTTTAACTATTAATGATTTTTAAAAAAATTTTTTTATAGTTATACATATTATTTAAGGCCTAAGGAATATAACTATAAAGAGTTTGTTCAAAAAAGTTCTTTTATTAAAAAGTTATTTTAATTTAAAAATTCTTTAATTTATTAATAATTTTAAAAAATTTAGTACTAATAAATATTAAAAAATTTAGCATTTTTTATATATTAAATTCAGTACTTTATTTTATTAATATTAAAAAATTTAACATTTTTTTATATATTAAATTTAGCACTATTATGTATATATGTTATAATAACTTTACAAAATTTAGTATTATTATAATATAGGTTATAATAATTTACAAAATTCAATACTATGATGTTCTGTACTATGTGAATTTTAAAATTTAACATTACTATTTATATTTATATATATAGGTCATATTATTACTTCTAATACATTATATTTTTTTTTTTTTTTTTTTTTTTTTTTGCTCTTAAGCAGCCACGCTAGTACTTTATTAAGATTCTTGCAACT